AAAAAATAAAAAAAAAAAAAAAAAAATATTAAATAAAAGAGCAAAGAAAAGAAAACAAAGTTTGTTTTCTTGTTACTATATATTTGACGTTGGTGCTTTTGAACAAGGCCATTTATAGACTGACAGATCATGCTGCAGATAGTCATTACTACTAACATAGTAGAGTACCTTGGGTGGTACAATACAGTACGATACCGCGATGCAAATCTGACGATCACCAAAGCCGATCGACGAAATCTATGTGTTCGCCAATACAGCAACCCAATCGATCTGAGGACAGTCGGTGTCTTAGCGTCAGTCGATAGCCAATCTTAGTCCCGGAGGGATTATTTAGGTAGTAATTCCTTGCGGCCTTATGTTGCGAAAGCACCAGAGGAAGAAACTAAATGAATGAATCGCAGCGGGCCGTATGCAAACACATAGCACCCACCCCCAAGCACTTTTCAAAAAATCGGCAGTACGAATAAATAATGTGCAAGGGTGTACGGAGTACGCAGTAGATTGTTATCGTTGATTAAGGCTACCTTGCTGACCCTGCAGGAGTTATATATTTGGTGCTGCTCTCCTTGTACGGCCGAGGGTATAGTACTTGCATGTCTCAATTATATGGACCCGTGCTCCACGGTAGATGAAATTAAGACTTGGAGGTTGCTTTTTCTGACATTTCCGGAGCTCGAGTGAGTTGACAGAACGCAAGCTGAATGCCGGTATAGGGGGCCTTGAGACCAATTCCATTGGAGCCGACCGGGTGTTGCCGAATGGTTCGTGGCGGAACCTGACGGCTGGGGCCTTGAAATTCCCCACACACCAAGAAAGTACTTGAGCTAAGACTCCATACAAAGTTTCAGCTTTCCGTGGTGTGCTCCATCGACTAGTAGACTCCGATGGAGAGCCACAGTCCAATGATTGCACTGTTCCAGTATGGAAAATGACAAGGCTATGTTTTATTTGCTTAGTATCTATCACTTTTTCTGTCTTCCTCCCTTCTTCCCCAAAAATTCCCCCTTTCTACCCATCCCTTGTCCGCCCTACAGAGCGAGCCCACTAAGATTCCTTCTCTCGTTCAACCCCTTGCTTCTGCTAACCAGTTACTCGGTATACACAGTCAGTTCGAGGCGGCCTCCCCTGCTCCAATAGGAACGCTCGGGGGAGAATCATACACCCTGGACAAATATGATTCAGTGAAACATCGTGAGAATCTCTCAATGATTGAGAGATGACCTGCGTATTGCGAGGCTCGTATATATGTAACATCATGTATATGGAGTTCGCAAAGTATGCGCTAAAGGCGACCCGCCATCCACCAATCCCCACCGGACGAACTGGTTGGCAAGGATCGTCCCTGGCGTACGGGTCGGGGTCGCATACGAGAACTGTTCGGTAATCAATTCCAAATTTTCGATCAACGAAACCGCACTGGCCATGGCTTTGGCAATCAACTAGTACAGTTCCCATACCCCGAGATTGGCTGAGCTTGGGCTATCTCATTTGATGGTAGGTCACCGACGTGCAAAGAGACGATCATTTGTCTCAGGTTATCCACCCCTTCCCCTCTTTTTTCTTTTCCCTTTCTTTTTTGTCTTTCCCTTCTCAGAGCATTGCATCTTGAGAGAACCCCATCATTGCTGATTATTGGCTTCTGCTGCAGCTGACATCCCGTCAGAACCCACCGTAGCCGACAAAAGGTCCACTCGGGACGAACAATCTAACTTAGGAAAGAGGGAGAGAGGAGAAAAGGGAAACTAAAAAAAAGCAAAAGCAAAAGCAAAGGTAAAAGAAGAGAAAGACTTGTGGTGCGCAATGACCCAGAGTAAAAGAAAATTTTTCCCACCATTACAAGCCTTGTAAGGGTTGATGCAAGCTGAGGAATGTATCTAATTGTATATTTTGACCAACCACCTTCTTGCTCCACTCAGGAGGCTTAACATCGACGTATCGTTTGGTCGAATTCAAGGCTGTGATGCAGACAGCGGGCTCTAAAACAGGGAGCGTCCTCTTTACACTCCATCCTTCCGCGCCCAGGCTCCTGGACGTCCACATTCTTAAGGCCTGAGGATATACTTTCGGTATTAGTCGCATGTGCTTGCGAGTAACCGTCATCGGCGAATATATGTATATCCACATCTTCCCACCCAGAATATCCGAGCGTGTTGACTGCTCTAGCAAGTCTTGCTTTGAGCTATACTGCTTATCCCCTTTTTGAACAACCAACATGGACGCAGCAGTTTTAGGACCGGCCCCCGTGCCAAAGCAATTTGTTCTGTGTTTCGATGGCACTGGAAATAAATTTTGCGGGGATAAGTCGGACAGTAATGTTCTGAAGATTTTTCGAGTAAGTCGGCCCAACGCAGAGGATTGAGAAGGTTCCATGTAGACCGTAAGCCAATGTCCTGGTCTGACACTAATGCTCTAACCAGATGCTTGATCGCAGCAAGAGTCATCAATTTCATTATTACCAGCCAGGAATTGGCACTTATGTAACTTCCAAGTCCCTGTCCAGCTCTGGCCGCTTCCACCGGATTAGGTCCGCATATCTAAAAGCAAAGGACTCCGCCGTCGGGTCCTCCTTCGCTGACCATGTCATGGGCGGATACAAGTTCCTCATGCGTTATTATGCACCTGGAGATGAGATTTACTTCATAGGCTTCAGTCGAGGTTCCTATATTGCTCGCTTCCTTGCAGAAATGCTGGACTTTATCGGCTTGCTCGAGGCTGGCAACGAGGAGCTCATCCGATTTGCATGGAAGACTTTCGCAAAATGGCAGAAGAGACGTAATAACAAAACAGATACCGCTGAAAGGGAGAAACTGTTCCAGTATATGAAGGCTTTCCGGGAGACATTCAGCCGACCAATTACGAGAATTAAGTTCATGGGACTATTTGATACTGTCAATAGTGTGCCGGCGTTTGAATCTGCGTGGATGCAAAGAAGCAAGTTCCCATATACCGCCCGCAGCTCAGCCAAGGTCATTCGACATGCAGTGGGGATCGATGAGCGACGTGCCAAGTTTCGGCAGGACCTGATTTCCGAGGTCAGACCATGCTGCGAGGAAAAAAAGTCCTCCCACTGGAAACGCCATTTACCCCGACTGCACCATACTCCAGAGAAATCTGATGATGTCCCCGAAATCGTCATCAACGGAGGTGATGACGAGAATAACCCCAATCAGCAGAGGCACGGGGAGACCGAATCTGTGTACCGCAGTGTGCGAAGCTCGAACCAGAGTGTATCCAGCGCAAATCATCGATACCGTGCGCGGCCACAACCTTCCCAGAGAAAGCCCAGCCTGGCTGTTCCCGGGGCAACAGCGCTCAAAGATGATAGAGCTTCCATCAACAGTGACTACTCGGACCTTTCGCTCCAAGTGCCACACGAACATATTGGGGCGGAATATTACGATGAGGATGAAGATAGTCCGCAAGACATTCAGGAAGTATGGTTTCCGGGAGGTCACGCAGATATCGGTGGAGGATGGCAACAAGAGCCGGACGAATGGCCACTCAGCCACGCACCATTGGTCTGGATGGTTCAAGAGGCCCGGCGCGCTGGGCTCCAATTTGATCCTGAGAAGATGGAGCACTTTCAATGCCTAGAGGAGTACGATGAGGATTACTCGCCCATTCGTGAGAACATGCACTGGGACCTGAATACCAGTGCGTACCAAGATGGCCATCCATTGATGCCAGTTGCAAGTCAGCAACTGGCAACCCATGTCGCCGCCGTTTACGGGGATGGGATACAATCAGCAAACGAATCCGGATCCACATTTCTGACGCCACTCAAAGAATCCTGTTTGGCCCCAATACATGACTGTCTGAAACTCGGCAATGGCCTGCCATCTCTCTCGGTTCTCACATGGCGAATGATGGAGTACCTCCCATTCCGTCGAATGGATTTGCAGAAAGATGGGTCATGGAAACCGATCCGGTGGCCGCTTCCGTGCGGAGAGGTTCGTGACATTCCAAATGACGCCCAAATCCATGTATCTGCAATTCGTCGAATGCATATGGATGAGAACTACCGCCCTGGTAACCTGATCATTGGAGGTGGTGGTCGTGGTGTTAGGCGAGCCTCTCCAGACGATGGAATTGGAAAATGGGCAGTTAAAGGCCATCAGGGCGATATTGTGCGAGAAGTGTACGTGGCTGTGCGGCACGAGGAACCCGAGGCCTCAACTTTTTGCAAGGACGAGAAACATGATCACTAGTGAGACAACGTACTTTGAAGAGGGGAGCATCTTTTTCCTTCTATCTCTCTTTCTCTTTCTCTTTTTCTTCTTCCTTTCCCTCTCTCTTTTTCTTTTCTTTTTCCTTTTCCTGCCTAATACCCTCAATAAACCTAGTAATCCCTTGTGTATGTCACAGGATAGTGATATATAGGAAGCTCCTCTTTGGATCATCTGTTTCGCTGCCGCTATTCCATCTTTCATTACCCTTTCTTTCCTTCATCTTTTCTATACTTCCGTCCAGCAAATGTGTCTGTACCTTTGTCCGTTAGCTTAATAAGAAAGAGAGCCACATGCTAAGACAAGGATCGTGATTCTCCAGTTCTTGTTAAACAACATTCCTGAGGGTATTTGCGTACTACGTCCACTCCATAAATTGGAAACCAATACCCTGACCGCTTACATATGGATTCCAAGGCACAGATGTATTTCAATGAGTGACTCATTGATGCAGACCAAGCCGCGTAAAACAAATGGCATGGCCTAGATGCATGTGTCCAGATGAAAGTAGAACCCCCTGCATGATACACCGTTTTTGAATTTGCTTATCGGGATATGCACTTGTTACGGCCATCAAATCCGTCGGTTGGATTCCAATTGACCTCTCTTGCTGCACAGGTGTTAACTCCGGTATTCCCCAGCAGGGAGAGGATAAACAACAGGTGATTGTATTTGCCGTGATCCACATCAATAGCTGCTATATTCCATCTGTTCAAAATCGTATCGTTCCTGTCCCCGAGTCCATTACCGAAAATATCTTCTTGGGACGGAGGTACTATCTGCCTATTCAAGGAAAGCGAAAGATAAACGAAGAATAAAGATGGAGTATACGAACAGCATGAGAGATTCAAACATGAAGGAATACATGAGAAAATTACCAATGGCGACAGAAGGGCGGGAGTAGCAGAAGTAAGTCACAACGATACGTGGTCATGAGCTGGACATGAGGAGGTCAGGTGCATCTCGGGGGTGAGCGGAGAAAAAGGAACACCTTCGGACTCGGGAGTATCTCTAAATTTCATTTCATTTTTGCTTTTCAGTTTCTGCTTTTTGGCATGAGGTCAGAGAGAAGAAGAAAAAAGGATCTTTGATATTAATATAAATCCCAGTACGAGTACGAAAGCAAGGTATTCAATAATAACTACTACTAGTACTAGTACTAATAATGTTTCCTCTGATACTTTTGTATACAAATTGGAGGCGGTGGAGCGCGGAGAGAACTAAACCTCTTGTGGCTTGGCGTGCGCGAATTCATTGGTCGCGGCGGCCTTTCCTTTCCCATCACCCGCGCCCTCCTTCCTCCTTCTCTCTTTTTCAAGACCGCGATTTCGAAGTCTTGACTTCACCACTTAACTTTACTCCCTCCACCCCCCCCCTATCCCCTGTTTCGTGCACCTCCCCATACACCCCTCTCCAACCAGCATGAGGCCGATTTAACCCGACTAACGAATCGAAGACGGATATGGAAACGTCTCGCTATCTATCCCCAGAGGGGATAATACTAACCCCTAGTCCCGTGGAATCGGTGGACTCTCCTGCACCGACAGCGCCGGTGTCCGCTGGCCACCGCGAGAACGACGTCATGATACCTCTGCCACGTCCCCCGGCCCCTTCTCCGAGTCGCTCGCCCTTCGCCCGTTCCCATTTTCGGTCTCGATCTCTGGCTGAGGTATCTGGCCTACCTCCTATGACGCGCGCTCACTCCACCCCGGGGCTGGACTCACGGGGTAGATATATCTTCGTTCATGGTCGCGAGGCACCAACAAGTTCACCCGAGAATGCCGCGAAACGCTATCTACCATTCCAGGCTCCAATAGGGGACAGCCTTGAGTCTAGAATGGTACCCTTGAACATCTCCGAGCCCATTTTGGAGTATGCTGAGCTGGACACCGCGATGCCATCCTCCTCTTCAACCCAGGGAGAACCTCGTACGGCCTCACCTGTGTTATCCAACACTTTCCCCCGAATGACCCGCCGACGACCGTCATCCCCTCTCCATTTCAACCCGATGAATTCCACTTTTCAGTCGGCCAACAGCCCCTCTTCCGCACACTCGTCTCCGATAATTCTCAACTCAAGATTCAACGAATCCTTTCCTAGTTATTCGACGTCTTCTGCTTCATCAATGCCCTCAACGCCAACAAGCATTCGCTCGCGGAGTCCGAGTATCTCATCCTTAGAGACTATTCCTGACATTCCCGATGCCGAAGCTGCGGCTATTGAAGCTGATCGGATCGCTGCCTTGAAAGCTGCGGCTGATAGAGCAGATGAAGCGGATGCTGCGACGAACGGAAATCGTCGGCGAGGGGCATCAGACGCGTCAGGCCCTTCAAGCTCCCTGATGAACATGCGAACCGTATCGGGGGGGTACGGTCTTAGGACTGATAAACGGAAACGGTGGAGCGTTTGTGGGGCCGAACGTCGTCAAGATCTCGACTTAGAGACGATCTGGGAGGATTGATATGTTGACTACGACTACTTCCTCCGCAACCTCTAACAAATGATCAAGCAACATACGCTAAACAAAGCAAGTTTATGAGCTGTGCTTCGGCTTTTAACCAATGGTGTATTGTCTCAACGTTACGGTTTATGCCCACCTGCTGTTGCCCCTTATAGCTCGACTTCCCGGTGTGAAAGATTCTGCTATTGATAAAACCGGCGATGCTCTTGAGTCCCGCGCCCCACCTCCTATTCTCCCTCGAAGCAGCCTCTACTTCAACAGTCTTATACCGGTTCCCGGTAATATTATCATGTGGCGCTGTATTATATTCTTTTGATTTGCTGGAACTTCTCTTGATTGTAATTGTTTCTTGCTTGTTGTTCTGGCGCTCATCGTTGGTGTCGCAATACCCTTTACTGTCTTTGACTCTTGTCTATTGTTTTCGATTCATGTGCCTCACTAAATGGATATGTGGAGATGGAGAGCGCGCAGGTTCGTTGATGCTCTTTGTGGAATCGTTCCATATTGTGGGTTGCACCAGGGCGCAAGGCATTATGATTATGTACCGGTGGCTTGTCATCCGGGGGGTGTTATCTTATTAGTCTGTTTTCTCATCTATCAAGCGAGGTTTAAGCGTCATTGTTGTGATTCCCCTGTTGCTTTTCATTTTGTTGGAACAATATTTTACATCATGGGTCAAACTGCGAAGCGTGCCCTTGATTGTGTAAATAGAGCAGACTGTTCAATGGCAATCGTACATACTCTAGTTTATTTCGAGCCCATCTACATCTTCGCTCCAAAAGGAGCAAAACCACTATATTCATCTATGAGTATCGACAGATCAAGCCAGGGTATTGTTCCCCATATATCTTTAACATCTCAGTCCACGGAAGTGACAACCCCTTTCCCACTGGCCGAAGGTAAAGAATCATCCCTTTCCAAGCCTAGCCCCAATCTACCAAGACCATACAATTGACAGATTTGTCCAGCAGCACGCTCACCACTCCAGTATGCCCCGGTCGTCGTCCCAAGCGCAACGAACGGCGCCGTATGCTCTCCAGCAAACCACACTCCACGATCCGGCCCGAGTCCCGCTCTCAGAATCTCGATATCTCGATCGCCCTTACTGAGCCCAACCTGAAAGTTGCAATACGACCCATTCCCGGCGTAGGGATCATTCTGCCACTGGGTTGCCATTACAGCGAGCGGTTTACAATCGGGCGATGACTCTGAATACCCATACAGACGGGAGTAGAATGGGCGAAGGAAGTCATCGAGGAAATCATAATATTCCTGAGACGAGGGGTTGAGGTTGGCCACTTTGGATACTATATATGTAGCACAGGGCCCGTAAGTGTAGAATAGGAGAGTTGGATGAGCGCAGTCCCCCGGGAGAGCGGCTAGAGATAGGCATTCTTGGTTCCAAAGAATACCCTCGGGTCCTTTTGTGTATGTGGGGTCGAGGAATTGTGCGAAGGTTGGACGCTCATAGGCGCTATAACTTGCGACTCCACCGGTGGTGAGGTCGTTGGGATTCTTGTGCCAGAAGGCTGGGGGAATGAGATGTAAACCTTTTCTAAGCGGCCATAGGAGATGTTGTCGATTGCTTGGACGAGACGGGGAGGGAGCTCTGGAATGAATGCGGATTTGTTGTGCTTTAGCCATCCCAGTGGACATGTTACTACCACTTCATCGAACGTGTGAGTTTCGCCTGTGGTGGTTGTTAATGTTGTTTTGTGAGGTGCATTTGGGTCTGGTTGGACGTTGGAGTTGATGTTGGTGATTGGTTGGTTAAATCGGATATCGGCATGCTGCAGGGCGGCTCTGGAGACGTAGGCTAGTATGTCTTTGTACGTAGATGCTACAAAGTAGTTGTCTGGTATTTGAGAGTCAGTCGAAGGAGCTGTATGCGTTGACGGTGAGGAGAACGCACTGCCGTCTATACATTCTTCTAGGCAAAAGAACTTCAGACTTTGCCTTTCGATTGGGTCACCGACGTATGCTCCCCATAGTCTGCAGGTCTCAATACACCATTTTTTCTCTTCCGGAGTAAAATTTGCTTTCTCGACTTGGTCTAGGAAGAAGTCTAGCAGACTTCGTTCCGGTGGGATAGAATCTTTATAAGCGTTACTGTACTTGAATGCTTCGTCAATGGTCATCCACACGAACTCCGAGATTTTGGTAGCTGTGTTGTCGTCAATAGGGCTTCCATCCATAGAGATGAATACTTGATTTCCCTCAAAATCTTCCATGGTCGTCTTGGTCATTTCTGCAATGGCCGCTATTGGATTTGTACCGGTGCCATGGATCCAGTTTGGACCGCTTCGGATCATCAGCATGAGTGGTCTCAAGCAATCTTATGAAATTATAAAAGCAAAGCACTTACAGATCTATTAAGCGACCCCCGACCTTGCTTTGGTGAACCTGCTCGGTATCAGTATATTGACCTATCACTACTCAAGTTTGTCTTTTGTGCGTACATACCCTCCCTCCGACACGGTTTCTAGCTTCAAAGATTGTCACTCGCGCGCCATTTTGTATAAGGATATCTGCGCATCTCAGGCCAGAAAAGCCTGCACCAATAATGGCTACATGCGGGCTTTTACTCATGTTGATACCCGAGAATACAGGATTGGATTTTTGAGAGAGCAGCGACAGTGGGTATACCATGCTGTCTAATTTGGATTTGGTAGTACAGGTACGGGAGAGTTTCTGCGCCATCTCCTGGTTAGCTTTATGTGAGTAGCATGTGTCATGAAGCATTTTGAAGTAGTCATGCCCAGATAGAATCTCAAATAACCATGAAGATATTTCCTGACTCATACCCTTGCTTTGTCCATGCTTCAGAGGAATTGTCTGCCCGCCATCAATCTATGGATTGATGATGACGGAGTCAGAAAAGCCCAGGCCCATGGCGGGAGAATGAGGATAGAAACACGCTCAAAGCAAAGAGGCATACAAAAAATGATATACTCCGTGAGGAACGTGGGGTGGCTGATCTGCATAGTTGATCTAGATAGCAGTCCGACGATCCATACTAGTGCAGAGACATGATATGATGCAAGTGGCGTATACCCTCACAAACACGTGTTATATGAAGTAAGAGGTCTAAACGAAGAGACTGTTTACTTACTAAAGCTGAAACGCACCGACTCGCATACAAGTGCAGCTGAGATAGCCTGAGCATCAAACCGACTTGGAACAGAAAAGCGGACCTGCAGACGGAGCATTTATTTAGATGGTAGTAGTGAGCTTGGGCCACGTGCCACTTGCCGTTGGCTCCTGTTGCCGCCGAGGTCATGAAGGTACGTACTTATTACTATTTTATTCTTACTAATGGGAGTCAGCAGTGTCTGCATTATATGATATCCTTGATTTTTGTCGTTCATTTCAATCGCTCTATTAGCCTGGAATTACATTTGGATATCTTAAGATTCGACAGGATCTAGTCATCAATATTTGGTAGGTGGTGGTGGTCACAGCCGTGAGGGACGATATCGTATCCCTTGAAGAAATAAATGGCTGGGCAAAGAAAAGGGCAGTTCGATCATCACAGGTTGAGCATCACAGATCATACATGAAGTCACCGCTTGCTGGCGCTCGCAACTTGAACATAACTACAAAGGAAATGAGTATGAAACAAAGGAAAATTAACAAAGGAAATAGGTCATGGCACGAGGAAACGGTTATCTCTGTTCCTATCGCCATGCACCTTGGCTCAAGGACAAGAGGCCCTGGATGCAATCGAGGTCTTCTTCCTGACTGGAACCACCCCCACCAGCCATGAATGCAGACACTTCTGTATCGACTATTGGCAAAGCTTTCTCGTTTGCTTTACGCTGCGACGCCTGAGAGAACCGAGAGCGTCTGGCAGCTAGGTCCTTGTTGACTTTTCCATCCTTGCCGTTAGCATCTCTCAGGACGGGACGTGATGAATGATGTTGAGAAGCCGCTCGTCGGCGGACACGAGAAGTTTGGGTACCGGGGATCCAGTTCTCCTTGTCTGAATCGCCGCACTCTATGTCTCCATTGCCTTTTCCTGCCATGCTCTTCGATATTTTCGCTGAGTAAGACGTGTTCTTATCGTTGGTGATTTCGAGACCAGATTCGAGACGGCCCAACGACGAAACCGCACGCGATAATTTTCTTCTCTTTTCCCTTGTAGCTTGAGGAACGGGTGTGTTAAGATGTTCAGAGGAGTTGAATGTTGCAGTGTTCTTGTATTTTGCCGATAGGCTTCGTGTCAACGAACGAGGACCGCCGGAGCGGAAGAATCCAGGGGATCCAGTATGTGTTCCACTTTGTGAGCTGGATGGGGTGGATAATGCACTCCGGGCATCAGTGTCGAAAACCGATTCCCAATTCCGAGGGTCTCGTGATCGTCCAAAGATTCTTTCCTTTTCGATAGATCCTCTAGGTGTTCCCAGAACCACTGCACTATTGCTTCTCCGAAGTCCCGAGAATCGAGGGGTCCGGGTTGGAAACATTGAAATACGGTTCTTGGATGGTGATGGTTCTCCATCGGCACGGATCACGGCTTTTCCGTCTGAAGACATGGCAATTCGGAGCGCGTTACGTCCTTTGGGCGGGGAGGGAGTCAATTCGCCTTCCTTTCTCACCATAGCTTCTCCATCAAACGATAAGGATATCCGCAGAGACGGTGGTGATCTCATGCTCTGCATTCCATATGGTGTTAAGGGTTGCTGTGCTTCTGATCTTCCTTGTCTAAGGTCCGTGATCGATCGCTTCCTTTTAGCAGAGTTCTGCTGTGGTGTATCGGTTGGTACGCTCGCGTGTTCTTGGTTCAATTCAAATTCCGACCGAGAGTTCTCTTGTGCCCCTTCCCTATTTTCTGGGGCTTCTGATGTTGCTACGCTCGTCTGGGAACTCAAGACAGGCTGCTCAGTTTCCTCTTGGCTTCCACGAATCATATCCGATGTTAAAGAGTCATTCTCCAAAACCCGTGCCACCGCATTGTTCTCATTTCTAGGGTCGTCATACTGCTCCGTCCCACTAGAAGAGCCTGGTTCCGTAGGTACACTCTCATCACTGAAGCTCTGTTTCGACGCGTCGGACCGAGGAGCCAGCAGTTCATGAGGTTGGAGGGGTTTCGACTTCCGACGATCATTCTGGCGACGGTTCTGAAACCATATCTATGCCGTTAAAAGACAACAGTCAGAACCAAGAAGTGCTAATCATTCAACCTTATCCAAGAGACGTACTTGGACTTCTTTTTCACCCAATGACACGCGACTGACTATGCTGGCCCGCGCCGTCTTATCTGGCTTCGGATTACATTGATACTCTGCCTCCAGAATTGCATGGTCCTCAGGACTGTTGGTTCATAATAAGCACGCGTTAGCTAGGCATATCAATGGGGCCGGTCCGTTTCGTATACCTTGTGCGGCGACGCTTCTGCCGAGCGAGTAATTTGTTATCGACACGCGGGGGAAGGTTCTGCGTTAGGGTTTTCTGCGAGTGTACGAGGAAGGCATAATTAAGAGCAGCTGTGGACTCGGACGCCTGGGCTGTTGGCGGAGACGATGAGCATGGCGCAGCAGAAGGCTCCGGGTCAGACATTGTGTAGTTGATAAGTCAGGATATAAGCATGAGGGCTAGAGAAGACAACTGCAAGACAGAAGCAGGAAACAACCAGGAATATAAGAAATCCAGCACTAGTCCCGTTTGACGTTCTTGGGGGGCTAGTGATCTGGAGCAGAAAAGTGACCCCAAGGTGAGTGGGAAAAAAGCGCTTCATCTAATCGCGTCGCGATGTGGACGCGGACGCACCCGTGCAGGCGTTACAGTTTAGCTCCGCCCCGAGCACGAGGGTCCAACTTTCTGGAATTTCGAGCTTATTTTCATAGAATTTTTTTGTTTTTCTTTACTTAAATTATAGATGAAAATAAAACGTCGTTTCTAAGAAATAAAATCTACATCGCCTTTGCCAACACACTTTATCCCACTGTTGTAGACAAGTCAACTTACCCACCGCGGGGTTGATACGCTGACGACACCATATCGCGGTTCTGGTGTACAGTAACAACTACACCCATACCGACGGTATACAACGTTTTAACATACCCTGCGGAATTCAATATCAGGCAAACAGTAGCA